ACATTACTCGCATAACACAATTTAATGAAATTTTAAATTAGATTTTCTTTTTTTGTGAAAAGAATAATGAAAATAATAATAATAATATTTTAATACTGTATAAAATAATTATTTTATTTTTTGTTGGTAAAAACACTTAATTTTTTGTTCCCATTTGATTGCAAACAGTGCACCAGAATTGGGTCAAAATCGCATTCATCAGCGCTTAGGCACTAATATAATGAATATTTTGTAAAACTCTTCTATCGTTTAACAAAAAAATGTTTTCAAAGAATTTCAATAATTTTCGTTAATTTTGTGTTTTATACAATACTTGCTTTTGTGTGATATTATTTTAATCACATTTGAGAATTCTTGAAATAATCAAGAATTTATATATTTGTTCAAAAGTGAACAAAAGTGACGTTTAATTAATATAATAATTATTATGTCTTGTATTTGGATATAAAGCTAACATTGAGTTTAATAATCATTAGTTTTATAGAGAGCTTCAGTCGCAGTAGTATTAGTCGTGATGTTAGAGCCGTCGTCTTCTGAAGATGAGGGCGAAGACAACATTGCCATCGAAGACGACACTTCTGCCAGTCTGTCGGTGTCGACCATCAGTCGCAATGATGTGCCCATACATTCACCACAACCACCACAGCAACAGCAACAACAGCACACGGCATACCTTCAGGCCTGTCCTCCTAATGTTCAGCGAAGTGTTAGTCCGGCGTCGGGTTCGTCAGGCAGTGAATCACTGCCTGTATGTCAACCACAGACCAGTTCTAACGATAGACTGTCTTTACCACAAACAAAGAGTAATGTGACGTCCAATAGATCTGTGAGTCCCTGTCCGTCGACTACTAGTGATGGGAATAAAGAAGCGACGGTTCCCTCAAAATTAGATGACATCGAGAGAGCAGAAAAAGAAGAGGCGGAGAGAAAGACTAAACTTCAGTTATATGTGTTTGTGTTGAGATGTATTGCCTACCCGTTCAATGCCAAACAGCCGACTGACATGACCAGGCGGTGCAATAAGATAACTCCTCCACAGCTCGAGCAGATCATCACTCGTTTCCAGTCCTTTCTGAAGGGAGAGCTTCAGATCGCGGCCGACGAGGCCTTTCAGAATGCGATCCAAAACTATTTCGAAGCCTTTCTCAACAGCGATCGACTCATTCTGATGGTTCAGAGCGGCGCCTGTTCTTCACATGACTTCAGAGAAGTCTTCAGAAACAATATCGAGAAACGTGTCCGAAGTCTACCAGAGATCGATGGCCTCAGCAAAGAGACTGTTGTGACCTCTTGGTTGGCAAAGTTTGACAGTATATACCGGGGCTGTGATGACGACGTGAAGAAGTTGACGGGGACCAAGATGCAACAATACCAACAGCAACAACAACAAAACCTCGCTTCAGAACTCATCCTCAGTAAAGAACAACTCTATGATATGTTTCAGAATGTCCTCAACATTAAGAAGTTCGAACACCAACTCCTCTATAACGCCCTTCAGGTCTGTCTTTCCTCTTAACTCTATCACTACTCCATTCCCTGTCAGCAGACAATTGTTACGTGAATATGATGTCTGTTCAACAGTTGGATTCCGGCGATGAACAGGCGGCTGCCATCAGAAGGGAATTGGATGGCAGGGTCCAGAAGTGCAATGAAATGGAAAGGGTCAGTTTGCTGTCCAACCATATACTGTATTCATTGAATGATAACTTATTGGTTAACATTTGATTGAATAGAATCGCAAAATTATGCCAAAGTTTGTGCTCAAAGAAATGGAGTGTCTTTTCTTGGAAGAGGTCCGCTCTTCGATAAACCAATTGATGGTTAACTTAGAGAGCCTTCCGGTGTCTAAAGGAGGGGCTGACAGTCGATATGGTTTGCAAAAACTCAAGCGATATAATCATAGGTATGGTTAGGAGTGCTGACCATTAGAACCAACTGTTAGACTAATCCTAATCCTAAACCCATCCGACCGTTGTTTGGCTTATTGTTAACTATTGTTATCTCAACTGCTTTTCTATCTCTTAATGCGAATCGATTGCATCGACAGTCGTCGGCGCTCTTCAGTCTTAAGGTTAGGCGGAATTGGGATCGGCTTTGTGTCTGTCATTGTGTCCACTTTCGGCTCTTTCTCTCTCATAATGCACTTCCAATCAATCCTTTTTGCACTTTTGTTCATGAATTCATTGCATTTAATGTCAAAGCTATTCATGGAATGTCAGCCAATTTCATGTAATCGCAAGTGTTTTCAACTATTTTTCAGAATGTTTTTTCGCACCAATTATTCATTGGTTTAACAAATATTTTTAATGAATTTTATTTTATTTTCTTGTTTATAATTATAATCTCTTTTGGTTTCAGTTTACAGCCCAACTCCACTCTAAAAACTCATTGTTTTCATATATTCAATGTCAACAAATTCATTACTTATCTCCAGTCACCTCTTTGGACCATTTTTTATGATTTAATCCTTTTTTCTATTGCTTACATGTATGACATTATTGACATTTTTATTTGATTTTAATTTACAATTCTCTCAAGTTTTTGCATGCATTCAAACACATCTCTCCCTTTCACAACAAATATCATTAATATAACTGATAAAACATTACAGAAGTCAGGCGTCACTCGCACGAGAAGGACTCGTTGAGGACACAGAAATCGCTACCCTTTCCAAAGTCGATGTTTTGCTTTCATTTACAATTGAAGGTATTTGTCATTCAATAACCGCTAATCTATTTAGCTGGCTCATTTTCTTGATCATGTGTCTAATGTATTATATTCATAAAACTATTAACGAATAGTTGTTGTAATGGAAGTGCGGGGTCTCAAGTCATTGGCGCCCAGCCGTATAGTGTACTGCACAATGGAACTGGAGGGCGGCGACAAACTTCAGACTGACCATGCTGAGGCATCCAAACCATTGTAAACTTATATTCAATCAAAGCTGCATTTAATTGAATACTCATAAAACAATCTGTAACTTCACATTAATAGATGGGACACTCAGGGAGATTTCACAACAACTCATCCTTTGCCTATAGTTAAAGTCAAATTATATGCCGAAAGTCCAGGTATTCTCAGTCTCGATGATAAGGAACTGGGAAAAGTCATTATAAAGCCAACACCTCTGACTTCAAAAGCTCCGGAATGGTATAAAATGATAGTTCCCAAGAATGCTCCCGATCAGGACCTAACCATCAAAATCATCATAAGAGTAGACAAACCATTAAATATGAAACATTGCGGATATCTGTTGGCTCAGGGAAAGCAGGTCTGGAAGAAATGGAAGAAACGCTACTATATTCTCGTTCAGGTCTCGCAATACACGTTCGCAATGTGTAGTTATAGGGAGAAAAAGTCAGAACCGCAAGAAATGTTGCAATTGGATGGATATACAGTCGATTACATTGAACCTATTCCTGGTAATCATTATTAAATATCACTTAATTATGAATGAGATTTTCTAATACTTTGTATGAAATATGACAAAACTATAGACTTAGAAGAGGGCCGATTCTTCTTCAATGCAGTCAAAGAAGGCGATAGTGTTGTGTTTGCCTGCGATGACGAGAATGAGTCTCATCTCTGGGTTATGGCTCTGTATAGGGCCACCGGTCAGGCACACAAACCAACACCTTTAATGCAAACCCTGGGCAACAAAAATTCAACCATATCTCGATTGCAAGGAGGTATTTGATTTATAAATTGATAGCTAATGTACTGTATATATGATATTGAAATGGATTTGACTATTTCATTTTGATTATCATATACAAATTAGATGTAGAATAATTTGACTCTAAAGAATCCAGATCAGATTTTTATGTTTTAATTTTAAAATATGAAAGTTATTACTTATTACTTAAAAGTATAGATAAACAATATATAGTATTATTCAAACTCTAATTTGGATTTGTCGTTTATTATAATAGCGTTAATCAAATAATTATTTATAGACTTTGTATTTATAAACTTGAATTATTTGAAGGCTATCTGCGGCTATCCCGGGCATTCGTACCTTACCTGCTCATGTAGGATAGACTGGGTACAGCTAAATCAGTGGTGGTCAACAAAGCAAATGATGTTGCTCTTCGGGAATACAAATCCGATTTGCACACGTACTGTTCCCTGGGATGGTTTAGTCCCGGACAGGTGTTTGTGTTGGATGAGTATTGCGCCAGATATGGGGTCAGGAGTTGTTTCCGACACCTCTCCTATTTATGCGATTTACTCGAGTTTGCAGAGAAGGGCACTCTAATCGACCCGACATTAATTCATTATAGTTTTGCATTTTGTTCATCACATGTTCACGGGAACAGGTATTCAGTGTTTGTTGTCGTTCACTATCTTTACGGTTCGCTCATAACAATCAAAATCCCAATTATTCTTATTATTATTGAAATTGCATTATATTTGCCGTACAATGAATCCCATGTCATACTTACATAAGAGTTACTGAGCATTACTTATAATCGCACACAATATGTTTCCCTAATCTGTTGTCTCTACCCCCCGGACAGTACTACCGCACCCCCGATCGGACAAATCGCATTCGACATAAGGTATGTCTCAGATGTGGCATGAAATACATGTAAACCATCACTCAATACAACGAAATCACATTTCGTTCGCACTTTCATTACATTAAGACTTGCCTTTAGTATTAGGATTAGAGTAGATTTTGCTTCCTTTGGGTTATTGTCTTGAAATTTTTCTTTTTCAAATCCAAATTTGTTTTAATTTTAACAACAAATGGCATGATTGCAGACCTGATGGCATTGGAACCGTTACCGTCGAAGAAAAAGACATTTACGCCGGAATTAAAGATAGACTCAAATGTTTATTAGAGTATCAAATAACTAATTTTAGGTACAAATCATTTAAAATACCAGTTTATGGCCACTAAGAACCATATATTGTCTCAAATCAGATATTCGTTTCCTTTCGGTCGACCCGAAGGCTCACTCAAAGCCACCCTTTCTTTATTAGAAAGAGTATTAATGAAAGATATCTTAACGCCAGCCCCTCCTGAAGAGGTGAGAGGAGTGATCAAGAAGTGCCTCGAAAACGCTGCTCTCGTGAACTACACCAGAATCTCAGAAGTGGCCAGAATTGAAGGCAAGTCCTCTTTATAAAGCTAATCATTCATTCATTTTTGTCTCAAATGTAATTTTATAATATTATTATGGAAACAACTCATACTATACCTGTACTTATTATAAATATTCTTGATTCTTATATGTTATATTCTCTTAAATTATATATATATAATTAAGACTATTATATTTTCCATTAAAGTTATATACTGTAGTAGCAAAATATTGTATATTGTATTATATTTTATAACACATAATAATAGAATTTAATATATTTATATAGAAATAGCAGCGGACAAAACATTAGATCCCAATATAAAACTTCAAAACCTGATTCATTTGGCAGAGCTTTGCGTTGATCTCATCCAAGAGAATAATGAACACTACGCGGAGGTAATTGTTATAATCCATTATAAATCACATTTTATTAACTTTTAAACGAAACTATGAATAATTGCAAAGTGAATAATGTTGTCGTATCTAAGCTCATAATCCTAAGGTTTCAGTTATTCCATGAAAACTAAAAATAGCTTTAGATTATGAATTAGTATCATATGAATACCTAAACACTATAGTAGACATATAAAATATCATATAATAGATTATTAACTAGTATATTTACAGTGATAATCTTATTGGACACTGATCTTAAATATTGATACTTTAAAATATTATTTAATGGTTCAAATAATTGCCCCTCTGACATCTTATAATTGATAAAAATTAGTTGTAAATCATGTGTTGTTCAGATGCCTATCCCTTCTCTGGTTATTCTTCATATCAATACTCAAAGCATGAAATATTGTATTAAACTATTAATTGTTGCATTGCTTTCATAACATTCCAATCGCTTATCCATTATCTCTTTGCTATATTCCTGTAAACACCAAATGATGTCTATCTCTCTCTATCTCTGTGCTGTCTGTGTGTCTGTGCTGTGGTGTCAGGCCTTTAGAGGGGTGAGTCTCATATAAATCACATTTTATTAACTTTTAAACGAAACTATGAATAATTGCAAAGTGAATAATGTTGTCGTATCTAAGCTCATAATCCTAAGGTTTCAGTTATTCCATGAAAACTAAAAATAGCTTTAGATAATGAATTAGTATCATACGAATACCTAAACACTATAGTAGACATATAAAATATCATATAATAGATTATTAACTAGTATATTTACAGTGATAATCTTATTGGACACTTATCTTAAATATTGATACTTTAAAATATAATTTAATGGTTCAAATAATTGCCCCTCTGACATCTTATAATTGATAAAAATTAGTTGTAAATAATGTGTTGTTCAGATGCCTATCCCTTCTCTGGTTATTCTTCATATCAATACTCAAAGCATGAAATATTGTATTAAACTATTAATTGTTGCATTGCTTTCCAATCGCTTATCCATTATCTCTTTGCTATATTCCTGTAAACACCAAATGATGTCTATCTCTCTCTATCTCTGTGCTGTCTGTGTGTCTGTGCTGTGGTGTCAGGCCTTTAGAGGGGTGAGTCTCTTCTCATATGCATTTGATGTGACCTTTTGTTATATAATTGGCTAATTTTATACCTAAACTAATTACCCGCACATGTATTGCATCGTGTGTTGGATGTGATGTGCCTTTCATTAAAACCAAAAGCAGGACAGAGTAAGTGCTTATTCTCTACACCACTTCCCTATGTTTTGTTCACTTGATATATTTTGATCTTGATGACATTTTGATATTTTGATTCATTACTAACAAATATTTGATGACTTAAAACAGGCGTTCGCCTGGTTTTCAGACTTACTGGTGGAGCACTGCGAGATCTTCTTCTCACTGTTTGCCGTCGATATGGACACCATTTTAGTGGAACAGCCGCCCGACACCTGGGAGTCCTTCCCTCTGTTCCAAGTGTTCAATAATTACCTCCGATTAGACGGTCTCTTCACTACACTATTCATTGAATTCCTATATTTAATGTTTAATTATTTGTTTAGAAAATCTATGCGGCGGTCGATTCCACACTCAATTACGCGACACATTTGCCCCACAAGTGGTCAGATATGTCGATCTCATGGAGTCATCGGTCGCACAGTCGCTACATAAAAGTTATGAAAAAGAAAAGTGGGAATCAAAGGGGTATTGAAATGAATACTTTGTATATTTCATGAAATAACCATTTGATTGACAGACCCGTGGGTTGTGCCGCATCCGAGGATCTATTTTGGAAGTTGGATGCCTTACAGACATTCATCCACGACCTCTATTGGCCCGACGATGTGTTTGCGAAGCATTTAGAACAAAGACTCAAATTAATGGCCTGTGATATGATGGAGGCCTGTATTAATAGGACACTACAGGCCTTCCAGACGTGGGAACGCAAGGGCACGGCTCGGTGGACGAGCACTGACTACATCGTGCCCTCAGAAATGTGTGCAATGATTAATGTCATACTTGAGGCCAAGACTCAGTCATTAAAACTGTGCACTTTTGACGGCGCAGACACTGTAAGGATCACTACATTTATAACTGTCTTTCATTCATTTGATTCACTTATAAAAATATATTATTTTCATCTTTAGCATCAATATCACAACAAAATAGATCAATTAGTAGATAAAACTTTAAGCGATATGCAAACTGGACTTATAGTTAAGGTACTGGTTAAATTTGATTATATCATAAATACAGATCAATTTAATTGTACATATTTATTTTGCAATTATAAGATGACGGCTATACTTGAGGCCAGTATTACCAAACTGGCCAGGTATGATGAGGGAAGTCTTTTGGCACCAATTCTGTCATTAACTGTAAGAATCTGGCATTTTTATTGAGACCAATTTTATCATTTATGTCTAATTTTTAATAATTAATATATAAGAATTATTTGTATGATTTTGATAAAAATTAAGTGCTTTGAAAACTATTTTTAATTTAAATAAAAGATTTTAGTCAAACGACTAATTTAGTCAATTTGTTTTAAGAATGAATGACTGTATTATAATTAATAAATTACTATATGTTGTAATCAGTATAACAAAGGGATGTCAAGTAGTGGTCGAGAAGTAGGCAAAGCGTACGTGAATTTTGTGCGAAACAGTACCGAACAGTTGCGACAAAGAGTGACCGACGAGTTGTGGGTCATTAACTTCTTCGAGGTATGAATACTAGTGCTCAGAGTTAGGCATTTGATGGATGTTTGTGTCATTTGTTTAAAATAATAAAAATGCAAATTTATTCACAGCAATGGTACTCATCACAAATGAATCTTCTATGCAATTGGCTTTCAGAACGTATAGATCATGGCTTACATTTGTTTCAACTCTCAGCCCTTTCCCATATTGTCAGGGTATGTATCCAATCCAGTTCCAACACTTTCGCTTACAAAATGGATTATTTTAATATTGTTTGAAATGATTTGTTAAACAGAAGATATACTCGGACTTTGAGTTACAGGGCATTGAAGAGGAGAAATTGAATTCAAAAGTATATCAAACAATAATGAGTCGCATCCAACTCGAAGAAGCGGCCGCTTCCGTCACCAATGGTCTCAACAGAGAACACGAGGACTCAGAGTAGACATTCATATCGTACTTATCGGTGGAATGAGTTTTAATTGAAATGGTTTGACAGGGAATACCCGGACAACGTGGCCGATGCCATCGCAAAGGGCAAGACTGGAGGTCTGCACCGAACGGACTCCGAGACAAGTGAAGGAAGTTATGTGAATCGCATCCAAAACGCCACTCAGAACGTGATGGGAAGGATCACAGGCATCGGTCGGGGCGTCGGTAACATCGGCGGAATCGGCGGATTCGCCAACAAATTCTTAAACAACAAATTCTAGTCTCATTTGTCTGACATTGTCTGTCAGATTGTCTGATATCTTAAACAACATTTATTTCAGTTTCAATCTTTTGAAACATTTCTAAAAGTGAGAACTCATTGTGTGATCTTTTCCCGAGTGTTCCTTCAATACATTAGTTCACGTATTGTTATATCCAATGATATGATAATCGACTAGTTTTACATAAATTTGTTGCAATACATGAGAGAAAGAAGTTTATGTTGTGATCCTTGAAATATTTGTTACATTTGATGAGAAATTTTTATTTATTACATGAAAATGTTTTCTTTTGCTCACAAGAGATAACAGTAAATATAAATATAAAGTATTTAAGTAATTAAGAGTCAAATAATAAATACATTCCTCTCTTCTAACTTATATGACATTAAATGCATTGGAATGGCCTTTGAATGCACTCAAAGAGTTAGGGTTTAGAACTTTCAATGATATTAACAAATACTTATATACTGTACTAATTGTCAGTTTTTATGTACAGATCATTATTCATGTGAATAATTATGTCAAATCAAACACACAAACAAGTCTATTGTACATCTAATCCACTTTTATGGCTAATCCGTAGGAAATGTTGCATTCTTTGCAATCACTGCCAGCGCTCTCAACTCAATACAGTTTACAGTTTTCGGTGATTGTGTGAAAAGAGTCTTAATTTAGAGAATATTCTGTCATTTGATTTGCTGGCAGTTCTCAGTTTGACTATGCATTCAATTAATTCATCCATTCATTTCAAAACTAAACTAAATTAGTTTCATTTTCAGATATTTTATGTTCACATCTTCACAATAAATTATATATTTATTATATTTTATGTGAATTTTTATGAAAAGACTATTAAATTATAATTATGTTTAGGAGTTATTGAAAATAAATGAACAAATTCTATCATTTTAATCATTATTGTGAACACAAATCCACACATTGTTTCAAAAATGCATATAAATTGTTAATTACTGTCAATAAGTCTATATTGAAGATAATGTATAAATGAAAGTCCTTTCACTTCTCAACAATTCATTTTTGTAACACATTTTCGATCCATTATTTGCATCTCAAACTCAAACACCACTCTTGAATACCACTGATATGTCAATTAATATGCCTTTAAGTGATCTATTTTTGTTATAATCAAATCAATTCACACTATTTATACTCATTTCTATCCATTTCTATTCACTACTCAAACACCTATTGTTTGCTTCATTTCTATCGATTAAATGTTTGATGCAATTACTCACACATTGTTTCACTATTCATACCCATATTATACCAATTAATACCAATCCATTCATTTCACACACTTTTGCCACTAATTCCTGATTTACGGATTGTTTCAATACTTTGATGAACAGGTAGACTAGACATTGACACCCCAGGCATGTCGTTCCCATACACCCGACCCCACCATATCATATCAATTATTGTTTGGCAATAATTTATGTCTCATTGTCTTATTTGGTGTCAATAAATATGACAATAAATGGATGCAATTTCTGTTAAAACCGTTCATTCAATACATGCCATTCATATGACATACCGTTCCCTTAATTATGCAAACTTGTCATCATTTGAATTTCGCGCACATTTGGTCCTATTTCTCGATGTCTACCACTCTATCACTCTATCACGCGATATGATTGAAGTGATTGAATGAGTCATACATTTGCCGTACAATACAATACAGTCCATAGGATGGCATCCAATCACTAGACTTAACCATATTTACGGACATTTCGTGTGATTTAGTGGTCAGTTGTGAAGTGAGGCACTCATACGAGTTGTACAGTAAGTATGAGAGTGTGTGGGGAGGGGTGGGGCACAGGAGTGGGAGTCTCTGTGTATGATATTTGCGTTCATGAAATGATTACTTGTATTATTGAAATCATATGTTGTATGAAATGAATGACTAAAACAACAAACAATTCATTCAATCATTTGTTTATCACTTTTACACCAATTCTTCACTTTTGATAAATCATTTCAAATTGACTTCAAATCCAATACTAATTGTAATTGAATTGCATTTCTATTTCTATTTCTTTACTATTTCTCACATTTTATTCAACGTTTGCATTGAATTTCATTTGATTTCCAATTGAATCGATGAATGCATTCATGAATCAATTGACAATCATTTGAATACATGTGAAGACATTTGTGTAACAATTGTTGTCTTATTGATAGCCAACCATCACTTGGAGGACATCCCAACACTTGAGCGCATAGATTAAGACAGAGATAACGGTTGGACTGAATCGAGTGATCTTCTGAAGCAAATGTCTGCCGAAATCCGACCCTTTGCTGACTCGACCATCGGATCCAATAAAATGCAATTATTGAGTAAATTAGAGGGACATCAAGACGTCGTCAATCAGGCCGTCATTCTTCGCGCTGAAGACGGTGTCATCAGTATTAGTGACGACAAGTAAGCATTTGTTGGTGTGATTTCGTCACTGAACTAATAGCTGATCCCATCTTAAGAACCATTCGTATTTGGCTGAAGAGAGACGCCGGCAATTACTGGCCATCTGTTTGTCATATTCTTCCGGGTATTTGACGTTTGTTTCAATTGAATGCTAACCATATCTATATGTCTAATGTCTAATGAATACACATGTGATGTGTGTCCAGCGTCTGCCTCTTGCATGGACTTCAATCACGAGACAAAGCGTCTGTTTGTGGGTCTGGACAACGGGTCAGTGTCTGAGTTCTGTGTGGCCGATGACTACAACCGAGTGGTGCATCAGAGGAACTATTTGGCGCATCAAAGTCGCGTCACTTCTGTTGTCTTCTCGTTGGTCACCGAATGGGTTCTCAGTGTCGGACGCGACAAGTATTTCGTTTGGCACTGCTCTGAGTCCGGACGAAGACTCGGAGGCTATCTCTGCAATAGTTGGGTCACTGCTCTTCAGTGAGTCATTGATTAGATTATCATTGAATTGAGACAATGATTACCATTAATGCTGCGATAGGTTTGATATGCAATCAAAGCACGCCTTCGTCGGTGACTACAACGGCATCATAACTATGTTGAAGATCGAGGAAAACACATACAAACCCATCACTACATTGAAAGGACATTCCGCTGCCATCCGATGCCTCGCATGGAATTCCACGAAACAAATGCTCTTTTCTGGCGGTTTCGACAAAATGATTATTTGCTGGGATATCGGTGGCAAAAAAGGCACCGCTTATGAACTCCAGGGCCACCAGTCAGTCATTAAATGAATTATTGATATTCTAATCAAAAGGTTTACCGTATTTTCATTTTGATTGCAGTAATAAAGTGACGGCGTTTTACTTCTCTAACACATCTCAGAGACTATTGTCTTCAGCTGAAGATAACAATATCATCGCTTGGAATATGAATACCAAACGAACTGAAGTGAGTGTTTCACTCATTTTATGGGTCTTTACAACTAAACACTATATTCTTTCATTATATAGACTCCCGAATGGACTGAAAGTGATTATTGTCAGCGCTGTCAGAGACCATTCTTCTGGAATATTAAGGCGATGTACGACCAAAAGACCATTGGCTTAAGACAGGTATCTATTGTCTCGTATTACCGTAAATATGACTTTAAAATTGCTAATCAACTATCACTCCGTTAGCATCACTGCCGGCGCTGTGGAAAAGCTGTTTGTGATTCTTGCAGTTCTAACAGAAGTTCTATTCCTATAATGGGCTATGAATTTGATGTCCGAGTCTGCGATGAGTGCCATAGCGTTATCACTGACGCCGAGTGAGTGTTTCTATAGATTGCTATGAAATGCAAACTCAATGAGTTGTCATTTACAGCCGTATATCTCTTGCATCATATCATGACTGCAAACATTGTGTAATGCATTTGGATGTCGACGAATCTCGTGGTCAGGCACTCACTTGTGGAAGCGATCGTATTATTAAAGTAAACCAAATATTTATCTAAAAGTGTACCTGATGTACTTAATTTTAATGCTCGCTAATCTTACTTAAATCTCTAGTTATGGGACATAACGAATATCTTGAACTCGACGTGAAATACAAGTATTTCATTGCCTTAACTTTCGGCAGAAATGTTTACTTCAATTACTAATTGCCTAACAATTGTTGAATATCACACACCCTTTGAGTTTCCCTTTATTTTAATCAAATGATTATATTTGTCGTCAATTTGTTTTTATAGTTAAATATGAAATATCGTTATTAAATATTTTAATCATTGAAAACTATTAGTTATATAATGAAGAGATCTTTTTTACGTCACATTTTGTTTTGTGAACAAAAATGTGAAATAACTGATAGAAACTTTAAAATGTTAGTTTTGTATGTTTCAAACGCCTGTGATGAGATTGAGATACAAAATGATATAATGGATGCAAAACAGGTACCACTAATACAATACCTGCCGGAAGGAAATAAGGCTCACCGATCCTCACCTGAGGCGTGTCGACGCTCTGTACGAGTACTTTGGGTCGACTCTTGCCATAAATTTTATAATCATTTAATTAATTAACTATTAATCAAATGTTTTCTTTAATTATTATAAGATTTTTATTTTTAATTTCCGATATTTTGATTATTAAATATTGATTTCAAATGACTTTTGTTTTATTTGATGGGATGGCACACCGATTGTCACACTATACAGTATATCAGAACTTGAAGTGAGAGTAACTCTGATTACAAGCAGCTATTGATTAAATGACACTTGAATTGACAACTCAGAAGTTTGAGGTTTGTCTCATTGCTATAGAGTTAATAATAAGTTGCATGACTTGAATGGCTTGATAAACGGTATCACAAGTCAATAGAGATTAATAAGTTGACTAACAATTCATAGGAATTAATCCCATCGTATTATATTTCTATCAAATAGTTTTCATTCAGACCTAATGCTGGTTCTAATCAAATCCTAGTGATTAGTGAGAAGTTATATAAATTTGTTATTACTGTTGTAAGTCTTAAACATATTGTTTTGAATCGGAATTAAAGGAATTGGAGACAAATATTTGATTCAAATCTAAGCTATGTTTGGATTGGGATGGAGTGGTAGTGAAGAGAGTTGGGGTCTCTTTACAGGTGAGATCATTGCATGAGTACTACCTGTGCTGTAGTCGTGTTGGAGTAGTGGCTGTATAGCAGTGACAGTCAACACAGCCTACCTGTTGAATGCATTAGAATGCGGTATTAGAGGGCAGGTAACCAATAGGTAACCTATAGGTAGGTATTGTCTGAACATTTCTGTACGTCTGTCACACCAATCGCTCATTCATTGAGACTCACTGTTTGTATCCAAACATTTCACTCATTTTGATCGCTTTTAATTGTGTTTCGGCATCAGATTTGTACACCTTTTCTGCCTATTATTCATTGCATTCAAACATATTATTTGCGTAAACAACTCATCACTTCTTAAACTAGTCTCAAGTGTTGTCTCAACTATTTCTGCATCACTTTTATGATCCAACTCTTGTTCGCCATTGCATTGCATTTAATGGCTATTTTCGGTAAGTCCTCCAAAGGCTCCAAACTTGTCACCTGAGATACTTTGTCCCAAGATATCTCTGACAATTGTACTCTTCTTACCCAATCATATATTTGCCACAATCATCAGTGACAGTGTCTAGAGATATACAAAGTAGTGTAATAGCTATGAGTATAGATGAGGTACGGGGTGAGTGACCACTACCACTACCACCACCACCACAACCACCACTCCATGACCTTGGCTTCAAAGTTGCCAATCAAGACCTCACCACCACTTCTCTCAAATCCATTTCAATCCATTTATTTTAAGATATTTCTCAAATATTTTCTCATTTATTTCCAAAATAAAACTAATTAAATGTAAAAACTTTTTATATGTCTGAGCAAATTTCCAATCATTTTCTAAAAGGGTTAGACTTTTTATTAATAACACGTTTAAGACTTTTATACATTGAATTATAAGTGATTTTTGTTTTTACAATTGTTTTTTATAAACTTTTAATTGCTTTTTCAGAATTTATAACTTTTATACACCAATAATGAGTTCAAAGTGTAAGATCTGATTCGCAAACAATGGTTATCGTCACTCGAGTGAGTCTCTCATAGAAACACTGATTTCATTACAAATGATAACAATCTGTGTCCAAATCAAAGGGCGATTACATATGGATTGAACCGCAATCCAAACGCGAGTTTGACGTCGCGATCGGCGCCCGAGTTATCGCCGCTGAGGGCAGACGTATCCAAGTGGTCGACGACGACGGAAAGGTATGTCACGACATTCACACTACATATGCAATATTGGCCTTATCTTGACAATTGGCCAACCATTAGGAGCAATGGCTGACTCCCGAGAGACGTATCAAAGCGATGCACCCGACGTCCATACAGGGCGTGGAGGATATGATATCGTTGGGGGACTTGCATGAGGCCGGGATCCTCAGGAATTTGTTGATTAGATATAACGAGAATGTGATTTACGTGAGTATCCAGACTCTTTTTTGACTACTTGTTTGACAATTATAACAAACATTGACAACATTTCAATGAATGTCCTACACTAGACATATACCGGTTCCATATTAGTGGCCGTCAATCCCTATCAAATCCTTCCCATCTATACTGTGGAACAGATAAAGCTTTATAGGGATCGCAAGATCGGAGAACTGCCGCCACATATATTCGCCATCGGAGACAATGCCTACAGCAATATGAAGCGCTACCGACAGGACCAGTGTATTATCATCAGCGGAGAGAGCGGTGCCGGCAAAACAGAGTCCACGAAACTGATCCTTCAATTCTTAGCCGCAATCAGTGGTCAACACTCTTGGATCGAACAGCAGATATTAGAAGCAAATCCTATATTAGAGGGTATTCTAAGGATGTCTTGTATTTAAATGAATATATTCTAAAAGAAATGCAATTTCTATAGCTTTTGGAAACGCAAAGACCATCAGAAATGATAACTCGAGTCGTTTTGGAAAATATATTGACATTCATTTCAACAAACAGGGAGTCATTGAGGGGGCGAAGATTGATCAGTACTTATTAGAAAAGTCACGGATTGTAGGCCAGGCCACCGATGAACGCAATTATCACATCTTCTATTGCCTTTTGGCCGGAATGAGCAAAGAGGAGAAGCAGAAGCTGGAGCTTCAGGACGCCTCCAAATTCTATTACCTGACTCAGGGCGGGACCATCACCTGTGAGGGCAGGGATGACGCCGCAGAGTTTGCCGACATTAGGTCTGCTATGAAAGTACTCATGTTTTCCGACCCAGAGATATGGGATGTGTTGAAAATATTGAGTGCCTTATTGCACCTTGGTAATATTAAGTTCCGGGGTAAGTGTTATCTTCATTGAATGCATTTGTGATAATATGTGATAACTATTAATAACATTTCGCACTCATAGCTACTGTGATCGCCAACTTGGACGCCACCGAAATAACAAACACCGGAAGTGCCGGCAGTTCATCGAAACTGTTGGAAGTAAACCAACAGCACCTGATCGACGCGCTCACCACTCGGACCATCTTCGCACATGGAGATACAGTCGTGTCCACAATGAGTTCAGAGCAGTCTCTGGACGTTCGCGACGCCTTCGTTAAAGGCATTTACGGCCGAATGTTTGTGTGGATCGTAAATAAGATCAATTCAGCCATTTATAAGCCCAAACCATCGGGCAGTCACTACAGGACTACCATCGGAGTCCTCGATATCTTTGGTTTTGAGAATTTTAATATAAACAGTTTTGAACAGTTTTGCATAAACTATGCAAATGAAAACTTACAGCAATTCTTTGTGAGACATATCTTCAAACTGGAACAGGAAGAGTACAACATTGAGACCATTAATTGGCAACACATCGAGTTTGTCGACAATCAGGAGGCACTCGACTTGATTGCTGCCAAACCCATGAATATAATGGCTCTAATTGATGAAGAAAGTAAATTCCCGAAAGGAACCGACTTTACGTTACTTAACAAACTTCATAAGACTCACGGATCAAACACTAATTATTTAAAACCAAAGTCCGATATTAACCAATCGTTTGGATTAAACCATTTCGCGGGAATTGTCTTTTATGACACCCGAGGATTTCTGGAGAAAAATAGAGATACTTTTAACGCAGATTTAGTTCAATTGATTCAAGTCAGCAAAAACAAATTTCTCCAAAGTCTGTTCACTCATGAGTTTGGAATGGTTTGTAGTCATATTCATNGTGATAATATGTGATACCAATTAATAACATTTCGCACTCATAGCTACTGTGATCGCCAACTTGGACGCCACCGAAATAACAAACACCGGAAGTGCCGGCAGTTCATCGAAACTGTTGGAAGTAAACCAACAGCACCTGATCGACGCGCTCACCACTCGGACCATCTTCGCACATGGAGATACAGTCGTGTCCACAATGAGTTCAGAGCAGTCTCTGGACGTTCGCGACGCCTTCGTTAAAGGCATTTACGGCCGAATGTTTGTGTGGATCGTAAATAAGATCAATTCAGCCATTTATAAGCCCAAACCATCGGGCAGTCACTACAGGACTACCATCGGAGTCCTCGATATCTTTGGTTTTGAGAATTTTAATATAAACAGTTTTGAACAGTTTTGCATAAACTATGCAAATGAAAACTTACAGCAATTCTTTGTGAGACATATCTTCAAACTGGAACAGGAAGAGTACAACATTGAGACCATTAATTGGCAACACATCGAGTTTGTCGACAATCAGGAGGCACTCGACTTGATTGCTGCCAAACCCATGAATATAATGGCTCTAATTGATGAAGAAAGTAAATTCCCGAAAGGAACCGACTTTACGTTACTTAACAAACTTCATAAGACTCACGGATCAAACACTAATTATTTAAAACCAAAGTCCGATATTAACCAATCGTTTGGATTAAACCATTTCGCGGGAATTGTCTTTTATGACACCCGAGGATTTCTGGAGAAAAATAGAGATACTTTTAACGCAGATTTAGTTCAATTGATTCAAGTCAGCAAAAACAAATTTCTCCAAAGTCTGTTCACTCATGAGTTTGGAATGGTTTGTAGTCATATTCATATTAACACTTTTAAAATAATTAATTTTAACTTAACTGACAACTTATCAGGGCAATGATACTCGAAAAAAGGCACCCACTTTGAGTGCACAGTTCAAGAAGTCATTAGATTCTCTGATGAGAGCATTAAGTCAATGCCATCCCTTCTTCATTCGATGTATTAAACCAAATGAAACCAAGAAACCAATGGTTTGTATATAAATATACTCTAATTGATGAAGAAAGTAAATTCCCGAAAGGAACCGACTTTACGTTACTTAACAAACTTCATAAGACTCACGGATCAAACACTAATTATTTAAAACCAAAGTCCGATATTAACCAATCGTTTGGGTTAAACCATTTCGCGGGAATTGTCTTTTATGACACCCGAGGATTTCTGGAGAAAAATAGAGATACTTTTAACGCAGATTTAGTTCAATTGATTCAAGTCAGCAAGAACAAATTTCTCCAAAGTCTGTTCACTCATGAGTTTGGAATGGTTTGTAGTCATATTCATTTTAACACATTCATATTAACACTTTTAAGATAATTAATTTTAACTTAACTGACAACTTACCAGGGCAATGATACTCGAAAAAAGGCACCGACTTTGAGTGCACAGTTCAAGAAGTCATTAGATTCTCTGATGAGAGCATTAAGTCAATGCCATCCCTTCTTCATTCGATGTATTAAACCAAATGAAACCAAGAAACCAATGGTTTGTATATAAATATATAGATTATATCTACTGAATAGATATTTTACTATCAAAATTGGTTTTGTTTCAGATGTTTGATAGATACCTGTGTTGCAAACAATTGAGATATTCAGGAATGATGGAGACCATTAGGATCAGAAGAGCTGGTTATCCCATTAGACATACATTTATGGAATTCATCGACAGATACAGATTCTTGTTGCCTGGGATAGGACCGGCACATAAAGTGCCCGATTGTAAAGCTTTGACACATAAAATATGTGCAGCAGTTCTCGGCAAAGTAGACTATCAGTTGGGAAAGTCTAAAGTATTTCTGAAGGTATGTCTTATTTAATTACTTTAAATTACTAATAAATATGATTAAAATATATTTAATTTACATTAATAAGTTTATATGAAGTGAATAAAATACACTTGTTAATGATTCTAAAAATTGTTAAAGTTTGATAAATAGTTGGCTTTAAAAATTAATTATTTTGTTTATAAAAATGTTGTATCGATAGGACGCTCACGACTTATTTCTAGAGCAAGAAAGGGATAGAGTTTTGACGAAAAATATATTAACCCTTCAAAGAGCTATAAAGGGATGGTATTATAGAAGAAGATTCTTGAGAATGAGAAATAACGCGATTATAATTCAACGCTATTGGAAGGGCTATATTCAACGCAAGAAGTATAAAGCGGTGAGTTCTCCCCCTCCCCCTCCCCACAGCACTAACACCCCACTACTCTATTGCCCTTTGAGAGGGGAGTCCTAATAATAGAATTCCTTTGCACTGACTTATTGTTGCATAATTGACATACCTGTGCACACATGTTCACATTGCATATGTTTTGCATATACAGATGCGTTTGGGTTACCTGAGACTACAAGCGTTCCTGAGGTCCCGAGTATTAACTCATCGTTTCAAACATCTTCGCCGTCATATCGTCTCACTTCAAGCCATTTGTCGCGGATTTTTGGTTAGAAGAGACTTCCGAAGCAAACACAGAGCGGCCCTTAAAATACAAGCCTTCATAAGGGGAGCGATCGCTCGTAAAAAGTATTTTAGATTACGAGATGAAAACAGGAGTCGTTTGGAAGCCCTTCGACTGAAAGAACAGGAAGAATCTCTTCTTCGGAAACAAATGAATCCAAAGAAGGCTAAAGAAATCGCTGAACGAAAGTATTTCGAAAGAATGCAAGAATTCGAGGCACAGAAGAAAGAGACAGAGATTGAAGAGAAGCGACAAATCGAGGAGAAAAAGGCTGTCATTACAGACGCTGTGCACCGACAGGACGAGGTGTTGGACGACTCGAAACTAGTGGACGCTATGTTTGACTTTCTTCCGCGAACTGATAACCTCTCCGAACACAACGGCCCGTCAGCCTTCAGGGATCTCGAGAGACCTAACGGTGACCTCAACAACGATTTGATGGAAAATGAGGGAATGTTTCCACCCGTTCCTCACGAAGAGTTGGAGGACTTGTCTGAATACAAATTTCAGAAGTTTGCCACAACTTATTTCCAGGGAAATGTTGGCCATCAGTATCAACGAAAACCACTCAAACAACCCCTTCTACCTCTCCAGACACAAGGAGATTGTATGGTATGTCCTAAAAGATTGCATTTCATGTCTGAATACTTCATAAAATAATTTAATTATTTCAATAATACTTTTGGAATAATCTATTTAAATTTAAATGCTCTATATTTTATTGAATACTATAATTACATTTTGTAATTACAATCCAATTCTTTATTTAGGCTTCAATAGCGCTTTGGATTACTGTTTTACGTTTTATGGGAGACTTAACTGAACCTAAATTTCACACAATGGGGAGAGTAAGTGCTGTACTTTTAATTATACCTACATTTCCACAATTTCCATAATATTATTTATTTGTTGCTGAAGGATAATACATCTGTAATGAGTAAAGTGACGGCAACTTTAGGTAGAAATTTCATTAAAACTAAAGAGTTTCAAGAGTCACAACTATTGGGTCTCGAATTGGTGAGACATTTGATTTTGTTAATTCATTATAAGTGAATAACACATACTCTATAATAACATACAATGAAAAGGAGGCTGAGAGCAAACCCGTGAAGTCGCGATCCATTCGTAATAAACTGGTTTCGCTTACACTGAAGAAGAAGAACAAATTGAGTGAAGATGTGAGACGACGTCTTCAAGACGACGACATCGCCGCCGACACCTATAGCTCATGGCTGGAGTCGAGGCCAACATCTAATCTCGAGAAATTGCATTTCATTATAGGCCACGGAATACT